CTAGTACAAACCTGTACCTTACTAGCCTTCGGGCTAACTTGCATATTGTCCTTATTTCTACCCCTGAAGCTAATCCGCAATAAGACCTCGGATCGTTCAAGTCAAGCACCGCGCCTGCAGTAGGCCCCCCTCATGGGCCCCTCCATTCCCTCCACTCTTTGCCTCGCACTTGTCTGCAAGACCTCGCAATAGGGGTAGGGGTCCGGGTAGGACTCTTTTCGATTGTGTATGTAATTAGGGGGTGGCGATATTTTCATTGTGTATGCAATAGGGGTGGTATTTCTCAAATTGCAGTTCGCAATCTAGAGCAGTTCGCACTATGGGGCTATTATTTTTAGTGAGAACGCACATGGGGTCATACCGGCATATATAGTGCCCCCCCCCCCCGGAAGTTGTCGCGATCCATCGATGATCTGAGCGTGATCAGTGTTTCCGTATTGGAATTCTATTCCTTCATCATTGGTAAATTGCAAAATTGCAACTTTTTCCACTGCAATCCACAGTGTTGATCTATCAACTTGATCCACTACTCTCGCTGTCTTCGTTATAGTCCCTAAGACCTTTGAAGACTAATATTTATGAGGTTATGAGGTTATAGATATATGTGCCGTGCATGGTGTCAATGCAGAGTCAAACAACAATAGTCATAGAGAGTAGAAAGAACAATATTGGGTGAACCAGCACGATGGGGGGACTTTTACGCTGTGGCGGAGGTTTGCTATCTCCGATTGCTCTTGTTTAGACTAGATTCTGTTTGCAACAGCATTGTCAGCAGCAGCCACTACAGTCTACACATCTTGGCTCTAGTACTATAGCCCCGCGTACAGTTTCCGCTGGCAACTGCCAGCGGCAAACTGTACGCGAGGCTATATAAGTACATCCATCCATCCATCCATCCATCCATCCATCCATCCATCAATCCCGGGGGGGGGGTCACTATATATGCCAGTATTACCCCATGTGCGTTCTCACTAAAAATAATAGGCCCCCTAGTGCGAACTGCACATTGGAAAACCCTACTGCAATTGCAGACACAATTGAAGATTACCACCCCCTATTGCATACACAAAGAGTGGAGGGAATGGAGGGGGCCCATAAGGGGGGCCTACTGCGGGCGCGGTGCTTGACTTGAACGATCCCGAGGGCTTATTGCGGGATTAGCTTTGTAAAGCAGAGCCTATTTGCTCCCGCGCGGGCCCGCTTTAGAAGTTGAAAAACACCCCCCTAACCCGCAAAATTTGGAACGCACATGGGGCAATACCGGCATATATAGTGACCCCCCCCGGGCAACCTTCATTAAGCAAGAGGGGATGCCAATCTTCACTTGATCATGATAAATTTTATGGAAAGTTATGAGTTTAGCATGTAGAAAGCAGACACGAAGAGGAGGCCAATCAAGACGAGCCAAAACAACATCAACACTATCAGTATCATGATAGTTTTTGGATACCCATAGACTATCATTTAGATCTATATATATAGCTATCGATCTAATTTTTAGTAGGGTTTAACGTGGCGGTGACACATCATAAACCCCTACAGAGAGAGAAAGCGAAACGAAGCGAAGCGGTTAGAGAGTAAACCGCAACACTACGGTCAATGATGAGAAATTCTTCAAAAACTTCCTGGATCCAGATCTGGATCCGGATCAGCACCAAAATCTGATCGATTGGTTGTTGGCCCAAGACCAACCCGGCCAAAAAATTTCATCAAAATCCGTCCGTAACTTTTTGAGATATCCTGTTGACAGACAAACAAACAAACCAACAAACTAACAGGGGTGAAAACATAACCTCCTTGGCAGAGGTAATAAGGCCTGATGGCAGTAGCCAATAGTCAATTAAATGGGCTACCCCTAAATCCGTACCCCTATCCGAATCACTTTTTCAAATTGTAGGTAGTAGGGATATAGGACGTCACATCGATAATTTA